TTTTTGTCAAAAGAAAAAATACTATATACCTAAATCTATTGGGATGTTACTTAAATAAAAAAAAAACATTAAAAAAATTTTTTTCGGTTCAAAAAAAAAATTAACAATAAAGGTTGCGTTTAAGCACCTTTGGCCGTAAATGGGTTAAGAAGAATGTTATTTACTGCCACAATTTTAATTAAAAATACATTCCTTATATATAACATATACATCCCAATACGAAGAATTGCTAACTGTAAAGTTTCCGAACGTCAAATAAAAAGGAAAGACAGTTAATATTTGATTTCACGTATAGTGCATCTGTGTATCCGCTTATACGTATTTCGGTATAATAGTCCTCTTCAGAACGGCTTTGACAGTCGCTCTGTACATGAAAATAAATCTATTATGTCTTAGAAAGCAACTCTAACATGGCTTCGAATGGACGCAAATAGCGACATCTGATATAAAATCCGTAAACTATAACATCTTTATTAAGGTCTGTTTTGCTTTGCAATTCTTAGAAGGCACAGATTAAAGCAAAAATCTGAATTTGGTTTCGAAAATTAGTTCTTATGAACTCAACCGAACTCAACAAATAATTATACTTCTTCTTTTTCTTCCTTTTAGTATGTAGGCTTTAAAGCCTGTTTCTTCTTCAATATTAGTCTCCCAAATTGTTTAAATCGTTGCACCATGTTTTTCTTGAATTATTATTTATAACTGGGAGTAAGCCACAATTAAAGATAAAAATACGTTTATTGACGTTTCAATTTCCAATTCGGAAATCGTTCTCAAAATACAAACATTAAATTAAACAAATTTTGTTTTTTGTTACATAGTGAAAAAATTCTTCTAATAATTTAATTTTATCTGACTCATTTATATTGACAATTCAGACATACATTATGCATTTTAAAGTAGACGACTTTAAAAATGATATTGCCAATATTGTTGAGTTGCGCTCCTGGGACGACTTTACTTATAAGATAGTTCATTCGATTACATGAAATCAACTTTAACTTGAGAATATCCGTCAGAAAAAGTCATAGCATCTAATTCGTCTTTAAAAAGACAAACACATGACATGACGACAGTAAAATTCTCCTGTTAGTGATTCCATAGTAAATTATGAGGGAAAAACCAGGAAAAAAACCTCATAATACTATCCCGACATTGTAAGTATTTGTTCGTGAATTTAGTTTACCTTCAACAAACGTCAAAAATTCTGATTTTATATGTTACGTAATTTAAAAACATAAATGTCGTATCCTCTATATGTTACTGACTTACTAATACTGGTATTTTCTTATTAATAACTTCCTCTTTCAATTTTTTGCTTTTTAAAAAAAAACTGGAATTGCTGGAAGTTTTTGGAGAATTTATAAGAAGTAGTGGTTAGTGTTTGTGTAAAAAAATTAAGCAGTCATTGTGGTAAATAAAGACGATGTCCAGTAGAAATAAAGGCAGTACTGTAAGTACAAACAGATATATTTTCGTTGTGTCTGAGAGGAAGCAGTTTGTTTGTATTAGAGTTTGAAGCTTGTGGTAACGACATCACGACATCTTCACATACAGTTGATCTTATTTCTTTTATTATCAAAAGAAAAAGTAGGCGAAATAGAAAGCAGAGAAATTGGTAGGATCCAGGAAGAAGTCAAGGAACCAATAATTATTTCTAAAATTTTTATATTAATAGTTTAGAAATATGTGTATTTAATTTTATTTGAGCATTAAGGGATGCGTGATTTGATGGATGATTAATTATTTGTTATTCTATTTATAGTGTATGGTGTAACATTTATCCTCAATGGAAATTTAAATTAATAGGATAAATGTTAAAATAAAGGACAATATTGTTTTAATATCAGAATTGATTGTCTATTATTTTTTTTTTGTTGATCCTTTTTTAAATAGAACTAGCAGAAGATACTTTGAAGCCACGTTTATAATAAAAAATAAATAAATAAAAATTATTTTTTAGCCCTGAGATATTCTTTGCTTTTGATTTGTTTACAATTATAAGCAAATCGCAACATAATGAATGGATAATGAATATTTGTTCATAACTATTCATAACCCTATGTTCATTATCCCACGCATGGGATAATGAACATAGGGTTCAATGGAATAATTCAAATATAGTCCTAAAAGAAACGGATGGTAAAAAAAGAAAAATCAAAGAAGCGGCTCTAATTATGATAAATGAGGCCAATTGTGTCGCAAATTCCTCGGCAGAATGTAGTAGGATCTGGTTACCAATATTGAAAGAGGAAGTTATTAATAAGAAAATACCAGTATTAGTAAGTCAGTAACATATAGAGGATACGTCATTTATGTTTTTAAATTACGTAACATATAAAATCAGAATTTTTGATGTTTGTTGAAGGTAAACTAAATTCACGAACAAATACTTACAATGTAGGGATAGTATTATGAGGTTTTTTTCTGGTTTTTCCCTCATAATTTACTATGGAATCACTAACAGGAGAATTTTACTGTCATCATGTCATGTGTTTGTCTTTTTAAAGACGAATTAGATGCTATGATTTTTTCTGACGGATATTCTCAAGTTAAAGTTGATTTCATGTAATCGAATGAACTATCTTATAAGTAAAGTCGTCCCAGGAGCGCAACTCAACAATATTGGCAATATCATTTTAAAGTCGTCTACTTTAAAATGCATAATGTATGTCTGAATTGTCAATATAAATGAGTCAGATAAAAATTAAATTATTAGAAGAATTTTTTCACTATGTAACAAAAAACAAAATTTGTTTAATTTAATGTTTGTATTTTGAGAACGATTTCGGAATTGGAAATTGAAACGTCAATAAACGTATTTTTATCTTTAATTGTGGCTTATTCCCAGTTATAAATAATAATTAATTTACAATGCCACAAGAAAATAGCTTCAGAACAATATCTTTTTCTTGGTCTGCGAATACTTCTTTATCGATTTGGTGACTTAGCTCGTGCTATTCTTACTATTCTATCTCCTGCCATTCTACTGATATGTTCGTTCCACTCCTGTTTTCATTTTGTCACCCATCCATTTATGTCTTCTATATTGCATGCACTTCTTATGTTTTCGCTTCTCTCTCTATCCAACAGACTTCTTTCTGATATTCGTCGGAGTATTTTCATCTCTGTTTCTAGCAGTCTCTCGTTTTAGATGTGTCAGGTCTTGTCTCCGCCGTGTATGTTAATATAGGTCTAATTGCCGCTTTATAAATTCTTGTTTTTGTGTCCTGTCTTAGGTGTTTGTTCTTCCAGTTTGTGTCATTAAGAGAACCCACCGCTTTACTTGCTTTTAAGCTTTGTTGTCGTACTTTTTCTTCAACATCCCTGTAACTAGTTATATCAACTAGTATGTCAACTAGTTATGTCAAATAATTTAACATTGTTTTCTTCTACGCTAATCCAATTATTCTCTGCCATGGATTTATTCATTGGATCGACTTCATTCCAATTCAGCTTGATAGTGAGTGTAGGACATCCAAATATGAGTACATCTTCAAACTGTAATTTCCACTGCTCGTGATAATCAGTGCAAGTTTGATAAAATAGGAAGCGCAGTTTGCAGCACTGTTTGTTCATCAATACCGAGGTCCGCGTCTGCTTTGTTTACTTCGTTCAATACAGCTGACGACAGGAACTGTGAATCCATTCTTGATTTCAACTGCAGACTGCAGGAAATCGTCCAAAGTTGTGTCATTTTAATCGCAGCTACTTCTTCACCTTCAATTTTTAAGACTGTCCGATTGAAAATCTTGGCCTATAGAAAAAAAAAACAATAATGTGCTGCACACTATTTTGGTGGAATCGTACCTTAAGAACTACAAACAAATAATACCGATTTAACCCCAATAACAGGTTTTGACCTACCGCCACATTGTTATCTAGTATCTCACACGTTATTGAACATTTTTGCATAATTGGTAAATTATGTTTACGGAATATAATGATTACCAATAATTGCACTGATTAGATAACATAAAATGCCTCATTTAATTTTGTTTACCTAAGTTTATTTCGTAAAATATTTGTTTTCAGATATTTATACTAGTGTTATATTAAATATTGAACTTACTTAATAGTTTTATATTAATTTTAGGATACTATAACAATAAAGGTAGTTTTTGTGTAACTAAAATCAACAAACTAGTATCGTTTTGTATGAAACTTATAATTTTTTAAATTGATATGTTTAAAGCTCGTAAAGGTATTCAATTTGTTTATAAGCCTAAAAAATGTTTAAAACTTTAAAAAATTGCAACTATCTGAGGGCCTTATTTGGGGCCTACTATAAATTTGAAAATTTGCGATTTTTTTCCAGTAGGCTGGATTGCAAAATTATTATGCAAAACCTATCCGACCAATCTTAACAAAATTTAGTATACGTTTTGAACATATTAAAAAGTTTTTCTAAGCGGAATATGGAGCTTGTAAGTCAAGTTTAGAAAGTCGAAAACATTTAAAGGTTTAACTTCATTTTTTTGGACTTTTTTTTCCAATTATCGCTATTTTTTCAACAATAAAAATTAAATTTTCAATCTCTATCTAACAAAATATTGTGTAAAATCGAATAACGAAACTTTTAACTTCCTATAATTTTTTCGCTGGGATCAATATTTTCCGAATGATAAACGAAAATAGGAGCAAAAAAATGAGAAATTTTGAATTGTTTTCAGATTTTGTTAAATAAAAAATTTAGCACAGGGTTTGCGACTGGCGCATACTGTGATTATCGATATTGGGCTTATCCTAAAGGGATTCCAGCAAAAAATAGCTTCCTATGGAAAATGTTCAATCCAAAACAGATCTCGCCTAGACTATAATGGAAGTTATAAAACAATAATTTAAAACGAACTTAGAGTAATTTCAGTTTAAATCTCCTTAAAAAATTAGACAACATACACACAAACTTAAAAATTATAATAGTTAACTTAAAAGAGCGATACCAGTTTTTGAATGATGTACTTATTAAACATTATTTGATGGGATAATATTATTTTTAGCATGTGATATGAACGTTCATAAACGATGTGAAGAAAGCGTTCCAAATTTGTGTGGTTGTGATCATACCGAACGTAGAGGAAGAATACAATTGAAAATAAATTGTTCTGGGAATAAGCTGACCATTGAAGGTGAGTACTACTTAAATATCACGAGATTTTTAACAGGACCCTTAAGCTAGCGGGAACAAATAAGGGAAATCTAATTTAACATTGGTAATATTTTTTTACTCATTTTTCACTAATTTATTACCACCCTAATAATGATTTACTGCCAAACCAACCTTAAGGGGAGCGATTCTGCTGGCTTACGGTTAAAACTAATAGAACTCCAAAAATAATATTTATGATGTACCGCAGTGCTCTGTTAGGTTTTTATGAATTTATTACCACACTAGTAAAGATTCATCCCTCAACTACTGCTTATGAGAAATCAATAATTCTGTTGGGTTAATGTTAAAGCTGATAAAAAATTTATTTTTACAATTTTACTGTACTTTTCTTGTAGCTGAAAGTATAAATTGCTAGCCAGCTTTTTACTGAATTTTATCCACCCTCATAATTTTTGACTCCCTAAGCCACAGTCATTGGGAAACATTTAACAAGCTACGAATTCACGGTAACAAAATGTAAAATCTTTTTGGAAATACAAAAGTGCTTACTAGATTTTTTATATATTTTTACCAGCCTAGTCATTGTTTTCTTAACTACCCTGATTGAAAACATTCTGACATGTTACTCTGTGCTAATAAATCAATATTTATTTTTAAATGTTTAAATAATAAAAATATGAAATACTTTGATGGTAAAAAATTGATGGTTGAAGTAAAAGTATAATACAAAAAATTATTAAAAATACCTTTTATAATTTTGTTTTGTATGTTCAAAATTTAACCTAGCAGAATTATTGGCTTCTTATAGAGGGGTAGATGTTCACCACTTAGAATTACGTTCGGGTGTACCAATTCATTGGAGCGAGGTGTAAAAAAATATGAGTTACGTCACCGTGCTCCAATGTTCCAGACCATCTCTTTCCCAGATAGCAATCTAATGCGCGATAGGGGTAAAACTATCAGCCAAATGCTCTTCATGTGGAGGTCCTGGGTAATAGAACTCCAACATGGTTTTCTAACCGAAATCAAACTCAGCACAGCGCATTTTCGCTATGATCCTGTTATCTTAATGTAGCTTATCCACGAACTAAATTTTTTTTTTGACCAGTTTAATATTATCTCTCATATATTTAGAAATAACAAAACAATATTGAAAATCATGTTGGACCTAATGGTTATACTGACGACACAGTTTGTGAAACTTGGCGAAAAGCACTTTCGATTTTAACTGGAACTAAATAATCAAGAGCAAACAATTAATTAATAATTGGGGGATACGTCAAAATAAAATAAACGAAATAAGCCTAATAATAACTGTAATGACAGCTTCTGCGTTTCTATTACAAGGTGACGAATCTCGGTCGAGAAACGATCGAAGCTAGATCGACAACATGTGTATGCCGAGTTTTGCAGAGAGTACTTAGAGATTCAAGTCTCTGAACAGCGAAAAGCAGATCAATACCGGGTAATTAGAATAAATAATCTTATCCAAGATTAGAATGCTGAAGATTAGTTGGGTTGAAAGAATAACAAACTGTGAAGTAATACGAAGAATAGGAAAAGACCCAGAGATTTTGTTAACGCTAAAGCGAAGAAAACTCGAATATTTTGGTCACCTGATGAGAGGACATAAATACGCATTACTTCAAAATATAATGCAGGGAAAAATAGAAGGAAAACGGAATCCAGGCCGTAGAAGAATGTCACGGTTGCGGAATTTGAGAGAGTGGTTTGGCTGCACCACTAATGAACTCTTTAGGTCAGCCGTAAACAAGAATAGCCTTGATGATTTCCAATCTCTGATAGGAGTGGCACAAAAAGAAGAAGAAGATCCAAGAGACTTGACGCGATACCATCAGAAGCGAAGTCCAACAAGAGATTCATAACCAAAAGCTAATTTTGGATTAAGTCCACAATAAAATCCCTAAGGAGCAGATTCCTGAGCCTCTCATACAAGAAACATCCTGTTAATACGCAGCAGGACAACAACGAATTGCACGACTGGTAAGAGAAATGGCACTAAAAACAGAATTTCATCCTGGGAAAAATGACGGCTGAGAAAAATTTAATTACTGCACGGGGATATTGGGCAAATTACGAAATACATCCGGGGAGTAAGAAGTCGAAAAGTTATTAAAAGAGCTAAAGAAATAATTCTTCACACTCCAAGATACTCACAACATGATCCAGAAAACAACACAGCTCAACACTGTCTAGGCACATTTAAACAAAAACTCTCCGTTTATTCAGGTCGCCTAAGAGACACAGTTAGTAACAACCGAAAATGTGACAATATACTTTTAAAGCATGCAGAGATGGCTTTATATAGGAAACTGAATTTCACTTTATATAGGAAAATGTAAATAATATATCCTACCTAATCCAAGGACAAATTCATCAGTTTTGGGGAAACCAACTTTATCCAGTATTATAAGTATAATGGTTAATGGATTGAAGACACGACGAGCAACTGTCAATATTACAGGAATATTTATAAACTTTTCATCACTGAAGATGTCTCGAACATTATCAAAGAGCAAAAAAGAAATCATACGATTTCTACCTGGCGAAATCGAAATCAAAATCTAATACCGTCATTTTGTATTATCAAAGAGCTTTATTATTGAAAATTTCCCGGACTAGACGGAGATTAAAACTTCTGGCCAAAGAAGTTTTGGAGTGTTAAAACAGTATTATTTTTAATTCACAGGAAATACCATCATTTCTTACTCAGGGATCCACTTATCTAATACCAAAGGATCAAAATAATACCCAAGATCCAGCCAAGTACCGCCCAATTACTTGTCTTCCAACTTTGTACAAGTTGGTCTTATCCTGTGTAGCCCGGCGTATCTACCAACACTGTACTCCAAACAATATCATTGAACCTCAACAGAAAGGATGCAATAAGGGCTGGTGGGATGCAAAGAACAACTTATTATCGAGTCAGTCCTTTTTAACCAAGCATATACCAAAAAAAAGGAACCTTTTACTGCCTTCATTGACTACAAGCAGGTCTTTGATTCATCGTTGTATGAATGGCTTATATATTTCAAAATATATAAAGTCGATGATAATCTGGTATCCTTTTTGAAGTATATAATGACAAAGTGGAAGACTAAAATTCACCTTCAAATACCTGGTCAAACCAATATCGAATCTAAAGATATCCTAATTAACTGGGGCTTAATCCAGCTAATCCAGGGGCTTTTCCAGGGGGTTTTTTTGAGTCCACTTTGGTTCTGCCTAGCGATGAACCCACTATCTCAGCCGCTGAGCTTTACTGACTCAAGATTTATAATAAAAAATAACAGTACTGTTGTAGCAAAGCTTACATTAGATAAGTTTATTTTGTGTTTTTGCTTAGTAACTAAGTTAGAGTATAGTTTATTTGTCCGTGTGAACAGAAAAGCAAAAAACAAAAAATCGTTAATGTGGTCTATGATGTTGAAAGAATGAAATGATGAGAAAAGAGATTCATTATATCTTATAGACTTTAATGAATTTTTTCCTTCGTAAGTTTTATATTTATTTCGTTTTTTCACCTTTTTGCAACTTAGACCAAAAATTAAAAACTTTCAAAACTTTTTATCAACTTTCAACGAAAACTTGGAAAAACTGCAAAATATTCGAAAAAGGTAACAAGTAGATATTTATTATCAGAAATAACCATCTGCTTAATACATTTGGTAACTAAATAACTAACTAGGGGAGATTATTTATCTCACTGTATACTTTGGGTAATTGCATACTTTCCTTATATACGTATGTTTATTCTTGACATTTTAATTAATCATCGTTATATAGTGTTAATTTATAATAATTCCAATACTGATCTTTAAAATCTTCTCTTATTGTTTAACTTAAATGGAAAGCAGTTTGTTTTTTTTTTCTTGTTGTTCTTAGTTTAGACGAGATACTTAATAATTTCTGACACTTGGATATCAAGCCATTGTACCAAACCTTGTTGTTTTTTTATTAAATCCTGTGGTCTTAACGAATACGAAAAGTTTTGTTATTAATAGTTTAAGGATCTTTTCTTGTCCAATCCTCAGTTAACAGCTAAACCAAATGCTGGCCAGTTAAATTGAGTGAAATGAAATTAGTGCATATTAATTTTACATACAAAAAAAGCGACACAGTTCTTTTCATGGAAATAACACTTAGATATACAAATTATCTCGGTATTAAATTAGATGCGAGCCTACGCTGGAGGGCTCATGTTAAAAAAAAAGAATCAATCAAGGCAGTAAAACACTCTAGAACATAAGAAGGTTTTTACAAGATCATGTATAAACATTGTAATATACTGTATAAACATTCTAGGAAAAAATAAACAAGAAATAATATTCAATTCTACACAAATAAGGTATTCTTGTTTCAAATCAAAAAAGTACACCGTTTTCGAAATAAACGTATTTTATTAATGATACGCATGTCGGTATTTAATGTTTCGAAAAACAAGCAGTATACTATGAACGTAATGCAAAGTCAAGCTGTAAGTACGAATCGTTTTATTCCAGTGCAGAATCATTTACCTCAGGATTTTCTAGCAAGGCTCCGATTTAGTCAGTTTATGATAGGTGGCATTTAGACGATCCTATGTTTTAGAAAAAAATTTATGTCGCATACCTATGGGATGCGAAGGGCATAATCCACATCGACTACTCGGAAAAGGGAAAACATTTTGGTGAGTATTACACAGCATTATTGGATCGATGATTCGATGCCGAATTGCGTCGAAAACGCCCCGGTTTGGAACGCAAAAAAGTTCTCTTTCACCAAGACAATGCACCGACTCACCGATCGGCCGTCGCCATGGGAAAATTACACTGAATTGGGCTATGAATTGGTTGAACACCCACCGTATTCCCCAGATCTTGCCACCTGCAATTTTTTCCTGTTTCCAAACCTAAAAAAATGGCTCGGGGGGACGCCGTTTCGCAACAAATGATAAAGTCGTGGCTGAAACGTCGGCCTATTTTGAAGAGCTCGAGCAAAAGTACTATTCGGAAAAAT